TACTACGATGATTGCAGATGATCATTGATTGTTCTTAGATAGTCCTTACCATACATTGTAAAACCATGAAAAGGTATAATGCCGTTGGGAGGATATATTGCCTCCATAGGTGGTTTGCCCTTCAATGACGTGAGTATAGGATGGCTGGTCGAGTTGTTGAACACTGACAACACRTCAGTATCGCGAGTAAAACACAACATTATCTAAACACCAAACATAGGTTTAAGAATATTAACTATGTAATTAATAACAAAACGCTAATTATATGWATATACATTCATTCAGTCAGGAGAGAAACCTAACCTATGATAACAATATACATATATATACATTATACAGTGTTATTTTTTAAGCATGTTCACCCCTATTTTTCTTTTTAATAGTACATTTATTCAAATTCTGATATTTTTTGTACTACTTAAATAGTAACCCTGTGGCGATACCAACTTTTATTATTCAAATGAGAACTCCCCCTTTTTACTTAAAATTATTAGCCGATCATTTTTTTGAAAATTTTGATGTATCTGAATCAAAATTCTAAAGAGTAGTTTCTGAGTWAGTAAAATGTTTATATTAAGGATAATAATCTTAAAAATGGTTTTATAAAAATAAATACTACGAGTATATAATATAATGTTAGATAAACTATTTATTACACTTGGATTATTTTTACAAATTATTTATATTGGTAAATAAATAGTAATTACTAATTGCTAACTTTTTCYAATTACCTAAGCATCCTATCTACTTAATCTATTACCATAGACATTTATTCTTAAAACACAAAGTTATATAACCCAAAAACTACTAGCTTGAATTTTGATTTAGACATATCAAAATTCCCAAAAAAAAATCTGCTTATCAATAAAAAATAAAACGAGAGGTTTATATTTGAAAAACTGAAGTTTGTATTATCACAGGATCATCCTTATGTAGCAAAAAAAAAATGTTAATGATTCAAATGGTCTTTAAATGCATTTAAAAATTCCAAAAATCTGAATTTTAATAAATGCATAATTTAACCATAAAAATAGGATGAACATGCTTAAAAAATCATTCTGTATATTAAAAAAATATTTTGAAAATGGGTGCCATACATTTTTTTCCGTWGTGMAAAATTTTTTAATATGGTCCTGTAAATCCAARGTTATTTCTCAGGATTGACATTAGAAATTTTAGCATACCTACTTACGCAACTTTATTATTATTAGTTTTGAAGGATCGGCAACTATGGCCATAATACATATGTGTGATGGGGTTCTGTTTGTTTATGTGAATGTTACGGTTGGTTTACCTAACTTGTCGATATGTAAATGTATGTACCTAATTAATATATTGTAAATTATTTATGATATAAATGCACCTGATGTAAGACGTCTTCAAACACGAAATATTGGTCATCGTTGCACGCTGTTAGTTGAACGTCTTTCGTGATTAATTTGTCGATCAGCATATCATAGTGCAACACCCGTTGTTTTAATTCCGAGTAATGTTGTTCCTAAAGCAAATGCGTCACGTGGGTGGAAAATATTTGATAACAGTTACTAGACGGGTGTATTAATACCGAAGACTTCACACTGGATCCTAGAATCTGTGCCCAGAGCTTGCCTCGGAGACTTCGCGGTGCGCCTAATTTTAGAAACTCTTGACACACTGGCGCATGCTGATGCTGTAGAACTGTAAATATAAATATTACTCGTTCATTTTTGATTTTTCACAATGGGCACCTACACAGACAAATTTAATCATTTAACCTTTTTCGCCCAAAGTGATTCGTTCTTGCTCTCCTTGTGATGTCGATCCGCTCGACAGCGTCGTCAGACATTGACAACACGTTAAGCCTAACAGCAAATCGGCAGTGGCCAAATCCCTGTAATGATGTTTCTAAAATCGACGTAACATTAATCAACTATTTTACTTTTGACTTTAGCTGCATCGTACATATATATAGGTACTGTTGTCAGTGCAGGCGTATCCGAGGTGGTACCATTTATCGACCAAAAGTATTAAAAGAATCAAAAGAATATTATCATTATGTGATTATTTTCATATATTGTGTAAAATTACTTCAGTGTCGTACAATGGGGTTTAATTGTTTTTTAATTGGAAAATTTAACAAACACTTATAATTAGTAGGTAAGTAATTTTTTGATGGAAAAAGGTAGATACCTACTTCTAATATTAATTTGGTATTTGAATAACGCACAATACGATGTGCGTGGGTGCATCTTAAAATGTATGAATGCAAGAAAAAAACTTCTTAGATACACCACTAAGTACTTTGTACSTACTGATTGTTGAATATTTAAGTATATAAATTAGTACCTTGATAAGTATCTAATGAATAATATACGTTACTTATSTATTAAATAACTTACAAGTTCTTGTAGTGTCTTAACTTTCAGTGGCAAATACGTAAAATCCCATATCATATCATCACTAAATCAAATTTAAATATTATTTGAAMWYTTTTTTGTAGTATTTAATATCTAATATTTTATGACAATATTAGAACAATAGGACCACTGGTCATTAGAATTAGGAGTAATTTTTCAATGTTAATTATGTAAGAATTTATGTTAAATTTATCTAMATGTAAATACAGATTATAAATATACTTTTTTCCCTTTGTAAAATTATAAATATGCTAAATTAAGATTGGAAGATATTAATATTTCAGTTCGAATTGTACATATTTTATTTTTTATATATTATAGGTAGTTCACTACTTAACCTGATCTATGTTTACCATATAAGAAACTTATAAACTAGAAATTTGTAATTGTTGTCAATCTAAATTTATATTTATTTATTTTAAATAAAATTTSTTTTGCAAACTATATGTTATTAAATCAACTTTTCTAAGATTTAATGATTTAGGTGTATACACGTTATTCATATATAGGTACCTATGTATGATTCTATATTGATATAGGTACTAAGATATTAACATACTCAGAAAAATTTAATTAAAAGAAATAATTTAAATATTCCTAATTTCTAATTTTTATGAGTAGGTATATAATATTAAATATAGTAGTAGGTAGGTACTTACGATATCATTCGGTAATTAGGATTATGTAATGAAAATAACACTTCTAAAAAATCTTTCGGTGCATACACCGGTCTCAGTCTTTCTAAACCTTTAAATAAAATAAAATGTATATATATTTGATGTGAATATTTTCCACACTTTTGAGGAAAAATAAACATAATATTTCAAATTAAAATACATATAGCATTATATACCGTATGTTCCAAAAATACAGGGTACACTCAATCATTCATTATACCCTGTAAATATTTTTCAATTCTGTTTGCGGRACATTACACTATAGACTAATCAATCATAATCCTTATGACTTAAATCTTTTTTAACTCGTGTAATTTATGCATGCGTAATAAAACTTCATTTTGGATTCTGAGCAGAGCTATGATTTTTTTGTGTCTGTCATCACGTTTTGGGGCAGTAAAAGTGCTTCGATTTTTGACTTCAGTAC